TGGGCGCTGACTCTCACCAGTGGCTATGGATGAAGTCACAGGCGATTTTCAGCCAGCGCCGGTTGTTTATATTTTCTTAAGAGGAGTTCAGATCTGTTGTTCGAAGGGTCACTATGGGTCATACTTAATTCAATAGCACCTAACAACAACAATTTATTGTCACTAATATTTAAAACTATATTTTATATTTTTTAAGAATATACTACATGAATAACTATAAATCAAAGCATGAATATGGAAACAATGTTATTTGAAATATAATTTGTTGATCTTTTGGTAACTGCTTAATTTAAGTTTCTAGAATACCCACCATCAAATCAAGGCAAAGCTTTTCTTATTAATTTGATGCTACTAAATTAGGAATTCTCTTAATTCATGCTTCATAATTGTTTTAACTTTCTTGGAAACTTTCCCCCCCACTAATTTTATTATATTTGGCAATTTTCACTCAAAATCAGATTGATATATAATGCAAATGTACACTTGTTTGCATATATATTTCTATAATTCCAAAGAAACTTTTATTTAACTGCACATTTGACAGCTCAACTGATGTTTAAAAAGCAACAATTAACACTGAAACAAAAAAGATAAATTAATGGAAACAGTCCACAGTTTAGGCTCAGTAAGCATCATTGCAACAAACTTGGAGACAATGTGTATCAAAGTCTAATCTTGAGAGTCTCCACTTCTGACTCTACTACCAACCCCTACTTTCTCTGTGTACTTCCGAGCCAGATCAACTAAGACGAAGCCCACATTGATTGGAGCCCTGGTGTCTCCCCTGGATAGGCCTCATGTGATTTGCATTTTCAGTGAAATTGTTCTTTCTATTTGACTCATGTTCTGGATGGTTCAAAGACGTAGCTGTGGTGCAGTTATTTGAAATTCTGCAGGAACCTTCACCTTCTGTTTCCCTACATCTCTAGGACCAAGGTGAGGTAGAACTTTGAGGGCTCTTCCAGCCTCTTAGTTTCTAGGTCAGGTCAGTGATTTGGTCCAGTCAGGGTCCATCGTTGCGAGAGCATGACTTTAGTGTCTTCTGGTTACGCTAGACCTATCTAGCCTTCTTTTCTCCATGTTCATCTTGTCCCGGGTTCCAAGGCAAAGAGAGTATGGCTGTGGAAGAGTTTTTGCAGGTCCCAGGTATGGAGTGGTGTGTGGGAAGCTGAGAGGAAGAGGAGGGCTTGTTTTACTGCCTTAGACATCATGAAAGCCCACCAGAGGCCACTCTTGGTTCCACAGCCCAGCCCGTACCGGCCCTGAGCCTAAAGGAGTGCAGACTTGTACCTTCCCTGCAACTCTTGACTGACATAGACTTCTTTGCCTGAAGGGTGAGTCCTTTAAAAGGACCTTTTTTTCTAAGGACAAAATTAAAGTCTAAGTGTGAAGACTTTCTTGATTTGTCTCTTTGTGCTTATTTTTAAATCTCCACTCATTAACTATGTGACCCGGAAGCAGTCATCAAATGTCTTTAAGACTTAGCTTTCTGTTCTGTAAGAGGCAATAATGTGATAACGTCCATCCAAGGGATGACGGTAAAGAGGACTAAATTCAATTAGTGCTTAAGAGCTCAGGCCAGTGCCCAATTGATCAGAAATTCTCAGGAAATGGCAGAAATGGCAGCTTCTAACGACAATAACCTTAATGATAACCCCAGTTCTCAAGGAGTTCAACATCAGGATCGAATCCCAGACGTTTGGCATATGCTGACCGGGTACCCCAAAGGGCTTCCGTGGAAACTTATTTGCCCACTGAAAGCGGGAAGCCCAATTTATCCTTCCTAAATGTACCACAGATGGCGGTTTTTCACTTGGTCTGAAAACTGCATTTTGTCTGCCTTACACATCTTGGGTTTGGCTTTAGGGGATGGGTCACTTCATAGATGCAGAGCAGTAGACAAACCAGACAGGACGTTATTGGAATTCTGGATGGACACATCAGAGAGGTTCTGGGGCAGATTTTGTTTTCTGGGAAAATAGAAAATCTAGCCAGGTGGCTTGCATAAAAATTAGGATTCTCCCTCCCTCTAGTATCGATGCCCTGGAAGCTGATGGTGAACACATCTGGGCTTCCCACTGCTCTATACAGTGTCACAGAAGGGCCTGGGGCTTCTCCCCTATAGGTTTAGGGGGTTACGTAGAGGTTTAAAATGCTGCTGAGGGCAGAACACCCTGCAGATAACTGGGATAGACTTAGGGTAAGCACAAGAGCTGGCGTCATCCTCTGGCTGTTATTATGGACAACCAGATTCCAAATTCAAGGCCAGACAGCTTGGGGCACAGAGCAGAAGTCATTGTCCCAGGTTCTAAGTTCAGAACTTTCTTCCCATCTCTTCCCCTTTAGCCCCCTAGACATCTAAGACACATTTATACCTTTTAAGTTTTGGGATTCCTTAATGTTTCTTACCTTGTATCTTCCATATGGCTTCCTGGGATTTAAATTCCTTTGAAGGCAAAGTCCAGAAACTATACTATTCTATAGGTACATTTTATATAGACCATTTAATAGACCGTCCAGCAAAGTTTTAACACATAAGGTTATGGATCTCAAGTTAAAATTAAAACAGCCTTGTTGATTTCAGTGTCAGAAATAATTTATTTTCCAAAGGAAAGTTTAAATTAAATAACTTAAGAAATAAATTAATAAAAAAATGAAAGTCTTAGGTGTCCTTTCAAAGCCAGTACATTTGCTCTCAGTCTCTAAAAGAGTCCTTGCGGATCGAGGAATGTCTGACGTCATCGTCAGGACTGTCCAGTCTCCCAGGAACAGCCTGAGAGAGGCCGTGTTTTTAGAGGTAATCCGTGAGTCTGCTGATGAAGGCTAAGTTCCTGAGGAGTTCCATCCGGACCACGGTCCAGGCACAGCTGCTGTAGGCCTTGGCTCGCAAGTAGCGGTTGATCCTAAAGTAGTAGCTCTTTAAGTGCAGAATGTTCACCATATTTCCCAAGCCAGTGCTCTCCTTCTCTGTATTTTCCTCCAAGATTGGCTCCATACGGTCCATCTGCTGGTAGAACTCGACTAGAAGGTTCTCAACGATAGTCTCATTCCAGCCAGTATGGGAGACGTTTCTTCTGAAAATGCCAAACATTTGCTGCAGCATCTCATAGATGACCAACGCAGCGCCCTCCTTCTGGAACGGCTGTGGTTGCTCAAGCTCCTTCGGGACCTTGAAGTTCATCCTGTCCTCGAGGCAAGCTTCAGGGGTCCCATTCAACGTCTGCAGGAGCTTCTGACAAGCCAAAGTGCTCTGTCTTTGTTGAAACTGAAGCAAGTTGAGGCTCTTAGAAAGAGCTTTGGTGGAGACGCACAGCAGGAAAGCCATTTGGAGGATGCATCTGGTGGTCATGATGAAAACAGGAACAAGGTTAGCTAGTGCCACCTGAATGGCCAGTGAAGGCTTCAAGAGTCGGAGTGTGAATGGTCTCCCTCCATGCCCAGGAGGCTATTTATGTGGGATGGTCCACAGTCTTACTATTTTACAGGAATTTCCCACTTTCACTTCTCCCTTTCAGTTTTCCTATGTCACTTAAACTATTACTACTTTTATGTTTACTCCCTTACTATTTTATTGTATTATGTGTGTGTATTAGAGAAAGATATACAAGCTATGAGGATGATTTCTAATGTTTTATAAAGTTTCAGTGAATTGTTAAATACAAGAGAAAAAGGAAATGAATAAGGCCACACTTTGAGAACTACCACAACAGAAACTAATTTGACTTTTTTTTTTCTTTTTCTTACTATTATGTGATTGACTTTTTCCTCTTATTTACCTGGGAGTTAAATTTTTGTAAGAATTATACTTAAGTCCCTAGTACATTATAATAAACAATAGAAATATACAGTTTATGGCTTTTAAAAAGGGACCCCTGCTTTTCTGGTCTAAGAACAGGGCTAAACCAAGTCTGCCTGGTAATTATTTTCTGAAGAAGCTTATATCAGATATATCACATAGCTGGTCAAGACAACACATTGAAAAAAAAAATTAAAAAAAAAAAAAAAGACAACACATTGATGATCACTTATCTGGAAATCTCAACCATCCAAAACTCAACTAAAAGTTGCTGATTACATACTTCTTTGAACAAAGACAATATTATACAGTTTATACATCAAAAAATTCTGCTCTTAGGGGACCTTTTTTCAATACGTCAGTAAAAAGAAATGGTGAGCTTGTAGCAAATTTCAGCTCTGTTCCCCTCATCTATAGATTTTCTGTTTTCTGGTCTTTGTGAGATGCTTTATCTGTCTCCCATATATTCCTCCTTCATTCTTCTTTCTTGTTATTGTCATGTGCTGTAGAGTTGGAACCAACCCATAGCTGACCGTCCAGTGGGCTTTCTGAGGCAGTTACTCACCTGGGAGTAGAGTGCCCTTCCTTCTCCTGTGGAGAAGCCGGTGAATTGGAACCATGAGCCTTCAGGATTTCAGCACAGTTGACCTCTAGTCCATCAGACTTCTCTATACTTTCTTTGTTGGTTGTAATTACCTCTTCCAGAAGGGATAGTTTTTTGGGGTTTGTTTGTTTCTTTGTTTGGTTTTTAATCTTCTTTCTATAAAGCTACTTGACTTGAGCTGTTTAAATGACCTCTCTATGGGGTAGAAAAGAGATTATCTTTGCTTCTAAAATAGGGCCATGAGTAAATTTCATTCATTCACATGAATGAGTGAATGTTCTTGAGAGTGGAAAAGTCATGAGGAGAAGATTCTGGGGAGACAAAAGTAAGGGGTCAGCATAGTGTTGTGTTGTTTTTTGGTTTTTGTTGTTTTTCCGTTTGTTTGTTTGTTTTTTATCTCCTTGAGGCCTCACATGAACAGAGCACCATGAGTTAGAATTCACTTGAAGGCAATTTATTTTTTCCAGATTTACCAGAAAACCAGTAAGGCCAAGCTGAGAACCAGAAGGAGTTTTGCCCAATGCAGCAGTGAAGAAGGAGGTTTTACTGGTAAATTCTGAAAGAGGCTTAAACAATCTGTGACATTTCCAAACCAACCAACTGCAACTTCCTTTTTGTAAGAGGAAAAGTGTCTGGGAATGGAGTGAAAGTTTAGTAGGATCGAACCAGCAAAGACAAAGAGGTCAAAGCAGTGTTGGGTGAAGAACAGACAACTCAAAAATGCAAGCAATCTTTTTTTTTTTCTCTTTAACACTTCATTAAAGTAACAGAAGAGGGAGCTCTGTGAAGTTAATGAAATCCTCCTGAATGACTCTTCCTTCTGAAAGTGAACCTCATACAGGAAAAGAACCTCATACAAAATCAAGCAACAGAAACCGAGATTAATTCTCATATAGAGTTTTTATAAGGAAAACAGTGGATAAGGATCAGAATAATTTCCCTGTGGATAGTAAGTCTAAGAAAATATGCCCACAAAACAGGAGTGGGGGAGGTTGTGATATATTACTGCAAAAGGAATCTAAAAATGTCAGAAATAGGAAAAATCATTCATTAGTAAGATAATACATAAAAGTGTACCTCAAAATCATCGCCTTCCAGTTGGAAGTGACTCATAGTGGACCCTCCTTTGCATTAATCACACAGGAAGAGATCGTCCACTGTTCTCCCACAGAGCCACTGGGGCAGTTGAAATACCAGAAAAACATGGCCTTTGGGTTGGCAACGCAGCTCTATTGTCTAAGTCATGAGAGCTTCCTAATAAGGTAATGTTGCCGTTGTGTGCTGCCAAGTCGGAACTGACTCCTAGCTGAGGCTCCAGCAGGTTTTCAAAGGCAGTAAATCACATGAGAGGAGACTGCCCATCCTTCTCCAGCAATAAGGGAGTAGATAAAGAAAATCACTAGAACGAAAAGGACTAAATTGTGCTGAATTTAGACGGATATTAGGGAGAATCGGGCAGCAAAGAGAGAGTTCAATCTGAAACGTAAAATCCAAAAGAAAACAATAGCAATTAGAAGTCATTCCCCCCAGGCACGCTGCCATGGAGTCGATTGTGACTCACACAACGTCCAGTACAGTAGAATTGCCCCATAGGGCTTCCAAGGCTACACGTTTTAGGTCTTGCCTTTCTCCTCCAGTGTGGTTGGTGGGTTCAAACCTCTCACCTTTTGGTTAGCAGCTGAATGCCTTAACCATGATGCCACCAGAATTGTTAGAATTCAATAGTCCATAAAATAGGATATATATTTACTTGTATAGGATAATTATAAAAGGTAATTATTTCCAGGTAAGTGGTAATGCTTACAAGGTCAAATAACCAAAATCTAAAAAAAAACAAACAAAAAAACCTTGATTTTTTTTTTATTTTATTAAATTTTATTAGTTTTAATGAACATTTACAGGGATTTTAGGTTTTCATT